CAGCTTGACGATAGTGTCTACGGGGTCCTGTCAGGGACTGGGTTCACTGTCCTCCCTTCCGCACCCCCTCCTCTGAATCCCTCCTCCTCCTCCTCCTCCTCCTCCTCCTCCTCTTCATCCTCCTCCTCCTCTTCATCCTCATCCTGCTCCTCCTCTTCCTCCTCCTGCTCCTTCTCCGGATCACGATCATCATCCTCATCATAATCATCATCAGCATCATCATCAGCATCATCAGCATCATCATCAGCAGCAGCATCATCAGCATCATCAGCAGCAGCATCAGCAGCAGCAGCATCAGCAGCATCATCATCAGCATCAGCAGCAGCAGCATCGTCGTCGTAATCATGATCTTCATCAGCATCATTAGCGGCACCAGCATCAGCATCTGCATCAGCATCCGCATCGGCATCATCATCACCACATTCCTCATCATCAACCTCCGCATTATCATCATCAGCATCATCATCACACTCATCGTCATCATCAGCATCATCGTTATCATCATCATTAACAGCATCATCATCGGCGGCATCAGCGTCAGCGTCATCATCAGCACCATCACCATCACCATCCTATGATAATAGTCATTACCATCATAAACATCATCATCAGAAGCGTCCTCATCATCGTCACCACCATCATCACGATCGCCATCACCACCACTATCAACATCACCATCACACTCAACATCATCAGCATCATCAGCAGCATCATCATCAGAATCAGCATCAACATCATCATCAGCATCCCTACTCCTCCTCCGAACGGAGGAAGGGAGGAAAGAAGAAGAAGAAGAAAATGACGAGGAGCGGAATCGGGCGTGTGCGCAAGGGGCGCCAGGGACGTGATAAAGGCGCGCCAGAGGCGTGAGGGCTTTCGATTCCGAGGGTGAAAGTAAAAGTACGCAAGAGGATTAGTTGGAACAACACATGTTCGCCAGCGCGGGCGGGCCCAGAACAAGAAGTCCTTGCACTGTGGAGGTCAGCGCTATGCAGTGCAAGCTACGTGGTGTGACCTAGGAAGTAACAATCATGTTGTGAAAACTGTGTTGACTAAGCTGCGCGATGTGAACTACGTGGCGCGAGCTATGCAGTGCAAGATCTGTAGTGGTATGGTGTGCAAGCTAGGTAGTGTGAGCGACGTGGTGCGAGCTGTGCGGTGCACATTCTGTGATGTGGGCTATAATGTGAAGCCTAGGCGGCTGAAGCCATGTTGTGTGAACTGTGCGGCAATTTGCCACCCTGCCTCCAGGCACAGACCCGGCGTGCCCTCATCCCTGGAGCCGCAGTCCTCAGGCCCGAGAGGTCTTCGAGGGGCCCGGACCCCATGCTCCGAACTCTCCAGGGGCTTGCCGCGTGCCCCCTCTGGGCTCTGCCGAGTGGTGCCGCGTGCATCTCTCGGGCCGAAGAGGGCCCCAGGAGGGGCCAAGAGAGCCCCAAGTGGCCCCAGAAACGGCCCAAGAGGGCCCCGAGTCGCCAGAAAGATCGGCCCAAGACGCCCAGCCCCAAGAGGTCAAGATTATTGATTGTCCGCAGGGTTTATATATATACATATATATACATATATATATATATATATATATATATATATGTAGGCCCCCGAGAGGCCTCCCACAAGATTCCAATGAACATCCAGTAAGCTTCACACCCACGACGGGGCACGGTGTGGCCCAAGAGGCCTCCAAGAGGTCCTCCAGGAAGTCACGAAGGGGTCGAAATCATTGATTTTCTTTAGGCTCTTGAATGATTTGGGCATTTGCGCCTTTTCGGCTTTCGGACGGCCCAAGACGACCCAAGAGGCCCCCAAGGTCGCCCGAAGATCGCTCAAGAGGCCTCCAAGAAGGCCCCATGACGGCCCAAGAGGCCCCCAAGACGGCCCCAAGAGGGCCCCAGGACGGCCCAAGGGGCCTCCAGGACGCCCTCGATGGCCTCGAAGACGCCCAAGATGGCCCACGATGGCCTCCAAGATGTCTCGAACATGGCCAAGATGGCCTCCAAGACGGCTAAGATGGCCCCAAGATGCCTCCAAGACGGCCCAACATGCACCCAAGACGGCCTTAGATGGCCGCAAGATGGCCCGAGACGGCCGCAGAGGCCCCCAAGAGGCCTCCAAGACGGCCCAAGACGTTCGGCCACATAGGCGCTTCCAAAAAGGCAGGGGGCGGCGGTGATTCGCCGTCGGCGTCTTAGATCCGCCGCCCTCAGCTGGCTTGCCACAGGGTTGCCACAGGGATGCACAACTTCTTCTTTTTACCGAAAAACATCCCCTGGAGTTTTGGCCCGTCTCGCTGGCCACCCCGAAAGGACCGCAAACTATCGCAAGACTCGGTTGCGGGGACCTCTCGGGGACTTGCTAGGGACATCTATGGGCCCTCTTCGCCTTCGGAGGCCGCAGTGGGGCTCGCTTGGATGGCCGTCTCGCAAGTCTCTGGGGCCGCCTTGGGAGCGTGTTGGGGGCCTCTCGGGCTGTCGTGGGGCCCTCCTGGGCCGCCTTGCGGGCCCCTTGGGCGGTCTTGAAGCGATCCTTGGAGCCTACGTACCTGTCCTTGAGCGTCGGGAGAACCAAAAGGCGAGAACGCTAAAATCATTGACGCGCCATACTACGTTTTGAATTTAAAACAAGTTTTTTATACATATTTATATATATATATATATATATATATCAAAAAAATCCGTGCTTTGGGCCTCCTGGAGGTTCTCCTGGGGCCTCTTGAGGCAATCTTGGAGGGCCTTTTGAGGGCCCCTTGGGGACCGCTTGGCCTTCGGAGGCCGCCTTGGGCCCTCCCTTGGCAGTCATAAGTCCCTCTTTGGGCGCTTTAGGGCCGTGTTGGAGGTTTCTGCACCATCTTGGGGCCGTCTAGGCGGCCACTTGGGCTCTCTTGGGGCCCTCTTGGGCCGCCTTGCGGGCCTCGTGGCGGCCTCTTGGGCAGTCTTGGAGCGATCTTGGAAGCATGTTGGCCCGTCTTGGAGCGTCGGATGCCCGGAAAAGCAACACGCTAAAATCATTGACAATCCCTGGGAACATACATGCTTTAGACCTCCTGGAGGGACTCATTGAGCCCTCCTATGGCGTCTAAGAGGCCTCTGGGCCGTCGGGAGGACATTTCGAGCCTTATTGGGGCCATCTTGGCGCGCAGAAAGCCGCAACTGCACGTTTTGCCCGTCGTCCGCCGTCTTGCGCCGTCTGCCACCGCGTTCTGCCGTTCTTCCTCCCGTGGCCGAGGCCAGATTTCAAAGGGTACCACCCCAAACCCCCCTCAGGGGGACACATCGGAAACCCGTCCGCAAGGTCGGGGCAAAAATAGCATCTGATGCCTGGGCCCTCCTGTCCACCATTGCGGGTAGGAAGTCTCGGAAGTCTCCTGGGGTCCGACCGCGGAGGCCTCCGGAAATCCCCAGGGGTCCCCACCGGCACTGGAAAGGCCGAACATATCAGCCAATAGATGAAACGTGTTGAAATCCTCCCACCTCCATCCTCGATCATCAATGCCCCCTCCTCGGGCCTTAGTGCCCCCTCCTCCCTTTTCGCTGATCAGGCCTCCCTCCTCCCTCCTCGATGCTCCATGCCTCCTCCTCTTCCTCCTACTCCTCCTCTTCCTCCTCCTCCTCCTCCTCCTCTTCTTAATCCTCCTCCTTTTCCTTCTCCTCCTCCTCCTCCTTTTCCTCCTCCTCCACTCCTTCTCCTCATCAACATGGTGCTCCCTGTCGCATCCCGAGGCCAGTTTTTCGGGCGGGCCGGGCGTTTCGAATGAGACGTCCTCACCACTTATGACCCTGAAGCTTAAAAGTTGGCAACAGTTTCACATATTGAGGGCGGGTCGTTTTCAAAATGTGGCTCTCGCCCGAGCGCCGCGCACATTCGTTTCAAACTTTGCAAAGGTTTCACGGATTGCGGGAGAGGTTTCAAACTGTGGTTCTCGCCCTAGCGCCGCGCATTTTCGCCCGAACGAATTGCAAGAGCTTCAAGGATTGAGGGCGGGTGGTTTTCAAAATGCGGTTCTCGCCTTAGCGCCGCGCATATTCGTTTGAAAGAATTGCAAGAGCTTCGCGGATTGACGGCGAATGGTTTCCACCATATTGCTCTCGCCTTAGCGCCGTGCACATTCGCTCTTAAACCTTGCAAGAATTTAATGGATTGAGGGCGGATGATGTTCACAATGTGTTTCTCGCCTTAGCGCCGCGCACATTCGTTTTCAAACTTTGCAAGAGCTTCACGGATTGAGGGCGGGTGGTTTTCAAAATGTGTCTCTCGCTTTAGAGCCGCGCACACGCATGCTTTTACTGTAAGAGTTTCGCGGGTTGAGGGCGGTTCCTTTTCAACATGGTTATCGCTTTAGCGCCGCGCACACTATTCTTCAACGTTGCACGAAATTCACGGAGTCACATGATCGACGTAGCAGAAATAATGGTTTGGAGGGGTTCGGGATAATGAGGGCGCAACAGTTACGATGATTCGCGGTGCTGAAGTCCCAGGAACGGCCTTGTGGCACGATTCAGGATCGTCATGTCGCAACAGTCAGGCTTATCCGTGGCGTTCGAATACGATGAGCAATGTTCTGGTACGCTTCAGGGTCTTCAAACGGTTGTCTTCCAACGAGGCAGGTCCCTCTGGGGCAGGCTTATTCCAGCATCGATCGTTGGTGACTCTTGGGTTTACACTGGTCCTCCTCATCTTCCTCCTCCTTGTTTTCGGCGATGGCCATACATCAGCATCTCAATGCCTTCCTCCTCCTGCTCCTCCCACCTGCAAGGAGCCTCTCCGCCTGAAGCCTCAGGAAGCCTGGACGCGGCTGAGTGCTGGCAGGCGGGACAGAGTACCTCGGGCACGAAGAAAGGGCGAGCAAGGATGAAAGAGATAGAATGGCGGACAATGAGCACACCACCACCCTCCTTCTCCTCCTCCTCCTCCTCCTCGTCCTGCTCCTGCTCTCCTCCTCCTCCTCCTCCTCCTCCTCCTCCTCCTCCTCCTGTTCCTCTGGCGGCAGCGAGCCGCACCCCCGCCTCGGTGTCGCCCTGGGCTGGCAGAACCTGCGTCGGCGACGTCTGCGAGGACGGCGACTCGAGGCCACCGGAGCCCGGCCGCCGCCAGGACACCTGCTTCTTCGCCTGGCCGCAGCCCACGACGGCGGCGACGGCGACGACCGCGACGCCAGCGACGGCGGCGGCGGCCACCAGCATCGCCATGGCCTCGCCCTGGTGGCAACGACGACGAAGACGGCGACGACGCCGACGACGACGAGGGTGAAGGCAGCCTCGACGACAGGAGCCCCCACCAGCTGCGACCCCCCCCGACGCCCAACAGCAAATGGTTGGACAACGCCGTCGGTGACCGCCGTTGACAGGCGACGCTTGTCCGAGTTCGAGCCCCGAGCTCATCCATATCCCTACGACTCACAAGCCCATAGGCGAGGACCATCCATGAGGAATCCTGAAGATCGGCATCGAGGGAAGAGGATGCCAATCATTGACGGCCCAGACCCACTACCCATTGGGGGGGCGGAAGGGGCCACGGGTGCGTGTTGTTGGATGGGGATCCCCGCTCGAACGGGAGCCTCCCCCGAGGTCCGACGACCCGCACCCATACCCAGAGCCAGTCCTCCTCCCTCCGACCCTCCTGCAGACGTGGGTGCGCACTGATCGCTCGTAAAACCATCAGGCTGGGGACCTGCTCGGGCCACCTGGGCCGCGCGCGAAGCTCGCCCTCGAGTCTCTCGGCACCCTCGTGCGGGAGGCCGGCGGAGGCAGCTCCCGGGCGGCGGGAGGGAGGGCGATACTGCCCAGTCGGGCCGCCCTCCCCCTCACGGACCTCCCTTTCGTCGCCCTCTGCGACGGCGCCACGTGCACTCCAGATTTCGTAATAAAAGGGAGGGGGTCTGGACCCTCCAAGACAAGCCATTTCAGACCTCCCCCGTGGGAGAACCCTCCAAAACATCGTCCCCAGACCCCCTGGGCCCTCCAAGATAGCCTGGAAGACCCCCCCCCGAAATGAGACCCCCCTCCCTTTATTACGAAATCTGGTGCAAGGTCCGTGCGCGTCGACGGCTTGTATCGACGGCGGGCGGCGCGGACGACCGCGCGGCGGCGAGGACTCGGGGGCGCGCTGGCCAGGGCCAGCGCTGGCACGGGTCCGCCGGGGCCATCGGCGCCACCAGCCCAGCGTGGGAATACTACGCGTGCGTCCCCCCCCCTCCCGGGGGCGGCGCGCACGCCGAGAAATCTCACTATGGTGCAAGCTCCGTGGCGGGCGCGTTCTGGCCATGCCGCTCGGGAAACGATGCGCTATACGATGGCTGTACTGTACTGTATATTCTGGTCGGACGCACGCCTCCCAAGTGGACATATAGTACCAGCACGGTAGGCGCTTGACCACAAGAAAACTTCCACAAGACACCCAACCCCGAGGACCCCAGGACGTCCGCCGTTTTTTGGTGTGGGAACGCCACGCTCTCCACAGAAAGACCATCGACACCCAAGAAACCCAGGGCACCCTGGAAGCAAGCAGGGTGCTTCTTGGCATGGGTTCCGACTGTGATATTAGATCGGGCATGTACTCCTACAGGCGGATCTTGGGCGAAACAAAAACAAATATTCCCCAAAATACATACTCAAAAGCAGTCGAAACATCGTCCCCTGACCATTTTCGGACTATTTTTGAACATTCCTCCCGTAGAGGGACACGCCCGCCGCAACTGTAATCTTATGTCCGTGTGCGTCCGAAGCCGTGCCGCGACCGCAGGCCTGCCGCGACGCCACCTCCCCGACCCGGGTGGGCGGAAGGGCGAGGGGCGGCGGTTCCGCTCCAGCGGGCTCCGCAGGGAAGGGAGCGGGTGCCGTGGGAGCCAGGCCGGGAGCCCCCTGGAGGCCTCCCCCCAGCTCGGGAAACTGGAGCACAGACAGTCCCAGTAGCGGGCTGCTGCTCGATTCCAGGACTTGGCGAGGGTCGGGGACGACGACGGGGTGGTGTGGTGCACACTTGCTGTCCCCGTCTTCCCCCGGGGAAACAACGACGACACCGGGGCCCCGTGTTCGCCAGGATGCCGCAGACACCCGGATCCCGTACGCACCCCAGGATCCCGCACACACCAGGACACGGCAGAGACACCCGGATCCCCGGTCCAGGAGCCCGAAAACTGGCATGCACCAGGATCCCGTACACGCCAGCATCCCGCACACACCAGGAAACAGCAGAGACACCCGGATCCCCGATCCTGGATCCCGAGAACAAACACACACCAGGATCCCGCACACACGCCAGGCCCCGCTGGCCTGCGCGAGCGTCCGTGCGGGGCCCGACAGCGCGTCGGCACCGCGGGGCCCCTGGGGGGCGGGCCCGGGACCCTCGGGCCGTCCCCCCGCGGGCCGGGGCCTCCCTCGCGAGCAGTGCTCGGGCAGTCCCCCCCGGGGGGGGGGGGCCCGCGGAGAGGGGGCCCCAGGGAAGCAGCAGCCGCGAGAGCCCCGCGCGACCCGCCGGCTTCGGGACCCGCTCCAAGACACGATCGCGCGGTGGAAAAAAACAAAACAAAAAAAACAAAAAAAACGGGCGGGAGGTCTTTGGCCCTCGCCGGGCCTCGGGGCAGGCGAGCAAAAAACGACTCGGGGTGAAAAGCGGGTCCCAGGGGAAGGGTCGGGACTTCCAGGGACCCCGTATACAAAAAAAAGCCGACGTCGCATGTCTGGGTTTCCTGCGTGGCGAACGTCACGGCTCCCAAAACTGGGCCAGCCGGAGGGGCTCAGAACAGACCCGCCGACCCCGTCAGCCAGGGCTGCTTTCCGCCAGCGCGCTCCGAAGAGACGAGCCCTCGACGGGCGGCTGGCTGCGCACGGCGTCGACAACGACGACAATGACGACGACGACGACGACGACGACGACGACGACGACGACGACTACGACGACGACGACGACGACGACGACGACGACGACGACGAGAACGACGACGACGACGAGGAGGAAGAAGAGGAGGAGGACAGGACGACGACGATGACGAGGACGAGGACGCTGACGACGAGGATGACGATGACGACGAAGAGGATGACGAAGAGGACGACGACGACGACGACGACGACGACGACGATGACGACGACGACGACGACGACGACGACGACGACGACGACGACGGCGGCGGCGGCGGTGGCGGCGGCGAGGAGCCAGGCCTCCGACGTCGTCGTCGTCGTCGCCCGTCGGGGCCGCCGCCGGCCCGGCGAGCTCTCCTCTCGCCCTTCCGGGAGCGTCTCGGGCCCCGGGGCGGAGAAACAAGCCGCTCTCCTCCAGATCCACGAAAACAACAAGGAACGGCGCCCCCATAGGTCGGAAGAGGTAGGTAGCAACATTAAGCAGGAAGGCGTTGAGAGTAGATTGGGTTCCGTCCGCCCCCTCAGGAGGACGGAAAAGGTGAAGCCACCCGGTCATTGCAATAGGAAGGCGCTTAAAGGTAGCTTGGAGTCTGGGAGATCCAAAAATACGGACTTTCAACGACCGATGGGTTTCGATAAATCCGCTGCCCCTCGAGGGCTCTCCGACGTCGTCGTCGTCGCCAGCCGGGGCCGCTGGCGTCCCGGCGCGTTCTCATCCGTGGCGGCGTCGGGAAGCGTCTCGGGCCCCAGGACGAAGAAACAAGCTGTTCTGGTTCAAGGCCAAGGGAAACAGCAAGGAATGGCGTATCGATGAATCCGCTGCCCCTCAGGGAGCTGTCCCACATGCGCGGCCTACGGACACTTCGAGCACAAGGACGCACGTGCACTGCTAATCAGGGCGCAGAGACGCGACGAGCGGAGCGCAGGAGGATGAAACAACTGCGTCGGCTCTCAGGAGGGACATCTTCTTGGGCGGAGGATCTTTTGGGGCATCTTGGTCGAGATCTTTCTTAGGAGGAGGAGGATCTTTCTTAGGAGGAGGATCTTTAGGGTCGAGATGGCGTGTTGGGGCATATTTTGCGCCCCTGCTGGGCCTCCCGGGGTGGCACCGTCGCCACGACCGGGCCCGCCCCGCAGAGCCCAAGTTCAGAGCGGGCCCCGGGAGGAATCCAGGAGGCGACCTCCGAGGGGGAGGAGGGCGACGATGGCGGCGCTCCCCCCCCATCCACAATTACTCAATATGAATACTACTCTCCCTCGTCCCCTGATGACGGTTTGAAAATGGCCGACCCCCCCCCGCGTACTGTTTTTTCACACAGGTTTCCCCGGAGTTGGGTGTTCGCCTGCATTTTTTTTCAAAATGCTGCTCTCGCTGGCGCCGGCCTCATTTTCGGGCCCCGCTCGTTCCGAATCGTGCTCTCGCTGCAGCGCTGGCCGCATTTTCGTGCTTCCGCTCGTTCCGAATCGTGCTCCCGCTGCAGCGCTGGCCTCATTTCCGCGCTTCCGCTTGTTTCGACTCGTGCTCCCGCTGCAGCGCTGGCGTCATTTCCCGTGCCATGCCACGGCATGCAATGCAATGCTAGGTTGATGCTACGCTTTGCGGTGCTCTTCTACGCCATGCCATGCCGTGCTCTACAATGCATCGCGTACCCTTTCGGGATCATTGCCCTGCTCGACATCCGACTGAGCGAGTAGAGAGGGGATCTGCGCCATGGTAAGGGATGGGAGGGAGGGGTAGGATGTCAGATATGACGCGAGCGCACCTAGCTTGCCCTCCCCCCTCCTCCTCCTCCTCCTCCTCCTCCTCCTCCTCCTCCTCCTCCTCCTCCTCCTCCTCTTCCAAATCCTCCTCCTCCCCCTCTTCCTCCTCCCAGGGAGGCGCAGCTGGCCTCCAGGGCAACCCCTCACGGCCCCCACGGCCGAAGAGGATCGGGCGCTGCTTCGTCGGGGGCGACCGACTGTCTTTTTTCGTGTGTCGCCGCGACGTTCTTTTTGAAGGGGCCCTGGATCACACAAATAAATACACACAAATAAAAAGATTCCCCATATTTTCTCATATTTTCTGGGTTTTCGTCTTCCCCCCCACTTCCCATATTTTCCCATCTTTTCTGGGGAATCGACGATTAATTGTGTCTGTGTGTTTTTTCCGCTCCTGACTGTTGTGAGTGCGCCCAAGTGGACGACGCCGGCACCGCGGCCTTGCGTCCGAGGCGGACTCTGCGGTGGTGGCCGAGGCGCCCTCCCCGAAACGTACGACCGCACGTCGGAGCAGACGGCGCGGCGACGTGCGTGTCCCGACAATGGTGGCTTCGACGACGACGGCCTTCACCGTGGCCTGGCCCCAAGTAAGACCCCAGACCTCCGACGCCGTAACTTTGTCGTTGTGTGGGCATCCGGGGCTCTCGGCCCCGTCCCCAGCACTGTCTTGTTCGTCGAGATGTTTGTTCTTCTTCCTGTTGGCTCTCGGGGACGAAAGAGGGCCCTAAAGGAGGCCGAAGCCGCTCCGCAAGACGCCCGTCATGATTTGTCCACGACGTCTGGATGAGGAGGAGGAGGAAGAGGAGGGCGGGGACGACGCAGTCGATGGCATCAGCAACGACGGCTTCGACGGAAACGACGAAGACGACGCCGGCGACAACGACCAGCATCTTCATGGCCTCGCCCCAGTGGCAACGACGACGATGACGACACCGAGTGCAACGACGACGACGACGACGACGACGACGACGACGGCATCCTCGACGACGGCAGCCTACCAAATGAGTGTACAAAACCGCGTCGGCGATCGCTGGGAAGTGAGAGGAAGGGGGCTACACCCTGCTCAGCGCGTTTGCCTTGCCATCCCAACCGAGCATCAATACCAGGCCGTGTCCTGCGAGCGTGACCGCAGCTCGGCAGCCGACACCGGGCAGTTGGAAGGCGACGCCTGCCCGAAGTGGACATTGCCCGCGGCGGCACAGACAGCGACCTCGGTTCGACAAGGACAGGAACAGTTGTCGGCCTTCGTCCTCACCGCGGTTCGGGGAGTGTACCCTAATGTTCTTCGTGTTTGTTCGATGTTATTGTACATATTGGGGGAGGGTGCCCTCGAATGTTCTTCGGTTTGGCCAGCGGAGGGTCTCATATTCTTGACGGATGTTCGTCTGTACTAGGTCTGGCCGTGAGGTGCCGCCCAGCACTTCTCTGCCAACCGCCGCCTCCTCAAACTCCTGGCGGGACGCAAGCCTGACCTGAAAGCATTGGGCAAGATATAATTGCTACGCTGCCCGTCTGAAAGCCGCCTCTGGGCCCCTCAAACCGTCCACAAAACGACTGGGGATGAAGAGACGATCCCGGGAAAAAGTGTCCAGGGGCCTGGGGGCCAGGGACAAGAAGAATCGAGCCGTCGGCAAGATGGGTCTCCTGCACGATGCCTCAGGGCGAGAAGAAAAGGGTTAGACACATCCCTCTCTGCGCCCCAAGACCTCTCTGCTCCCAAGACCTCTGGCGACTCGGTGTTGTTCTGCCACGTGGGCCCCGAAAACTCTGGACTATTACCCCAGACCTGCGCCTCATACCGAAGCGTTATGCTGGCGACGCCTGGGCTCGGAAGACGAGCATCGCGGACGCCGAAGATGGCGAAGGACCTCCAGCGGAGTCGCTAGAGGCAACGTGGGCAGGAAACTAGCTTTGTCCAGGGCCTCGCGGGCTGTGCTCCTGGGCCGCGACCCCGCGGATACGGGGCAATTCTTCGCGGATAACCTGCGCGGCACCTATCCATGCGACAGCGCATCCACGGCATCACGCCTGGGGATCCATCCGGACCGCGAGGGATGTGTTCGCCAATCGTGTTGGCAAACTCCCCGCTCTCCGCCCCCCCTCGCGTCCTTCCGCCCCCCCCCCAAAAGGCCTCTGGGCTGGAACTGGTGCTCATAGTCATAATCTCGCCCACCTCCGCGCGGCAGAGCGCAGAGAAGGAAGGGACAAGCATCGAGGGCCGAGCCTTTTGTGATCTCTCGGAGCGTGCGGAGGCCTTCGGAAATTCCCGAGGAGGATCGGGATGGGGAGAGGGAGAGCTTCCTCCATTCCTCCCTGCTCTCCCCTCGTCATCCATGTTCCCTCTCCCGCCTCCTCCACCAGTCCTCCTCAACACTTACTCCCCCACTGTCGCACCACCAGACGTAGCCGCAGCCCAAGCCAAGCGTTTCGTTCGAACCTTCTTGCATCCTATGAGCTCGCAGCAGCAACAATCTTGCAGCAACAACATACTCAGCATTTACAAGGATGGAGGACCAGTGGTTTCTAAGAGACGGCTCTCGTCTGAGCGCTGCGCACATTCGACTGCGAATCTTCCATCAGTCATCAGAGTTGCAAAAGCGCAAGGCTGGTGGATTCCACAATGTAGCTCGTGCCTCGGTGCCTTGCGCATTTTGATTCACATCCTCCAGCAGCTATAAAAATGGAAGATGGGTTTGTTTGCACAATGCGGCACTCGCCTGAATGCCACACGAATGTGTTTCTGAATTCTTTTGAAACGGAAAGCAGTGGGGCCAGGCTCGTTTTCAAAATGCCACTATCATCTTCGCCTCCGCGCACGCACATGAAACTGAACATCTCCAACGGTTACAAGGATGGTTGCCTGGTCGTTAGCGCTTCCCGCTTTAAACTCCTCAGTTCGTCGACTTCCAGTTCAACGTTGTGCAACAGCTACACGGCTAGGGGCGGCTCCGTTTCGCAATGGGGCTGTCTTGAGACTTCTTCACACTGTTTGGCCAGTACGTTTGGATCATGCATACCTTACACGGATGGAAGACTCACATTGTTGTTCAAAACGGCGCCATGGCTCACTCCTCCTTGAGCGGTTACAGCCCTATCTTTTGTGGTTTTAACAATGGAGGCCAGTCTACAAGAAACCATCCACAAGAAACCCAACCCTGAGACCCCAGGACGTCCATTGATTTCTCGTGTGGGAACGTCACGCTTCCCATCGCAAAACCATCGAAACCCAAGAAACCCGGGGCACCCTGGAGGCAAGCAGGGTGCCTCTTGGCATGGGCCCCCATTGTAGCTATCCAAATGGAGGGCGAATCCGTATCACAATGAACTTTTTCCGCTTGAGTGGCAAACCCACCGGGCGCGTTCGCGGTTCGAGGGCGAGGGGAACAGGGTGTCTTGCATCATCGCCTCCGCATCCCGGACTTACTCTGCTAACACGCCCCCTCGTCCTCTCCAGCGCCTCCCTGCGACACTGTTGCACCTGAAATCTCCGACATCCAACCTTCGTCTTTCCCATCTGCTCCTCACCCCTCTTCTACCATTCCTCCTCCTCCTCCTCCTGCCCATCCTCCTTTTCCCCCCCGCCCTCGGGCAAGCTCGCCTATCACATATAAGTATATAGTTATATATACACGCAAGTGCATACATACATACATACATACATACATACATACATACATACATACATACATACATACATACATATATGCATACATACATACATACATACACACGCACATACATACATTCATGCATAACTACATGCACACACATACATACATACGTACATACATACATACTTACATACATACACACATACATACATAAATACATACACAAATACATACACACACATACATACATGCACACATACGTACATACATACAAACCTACATACATACATACATACATACATGCATACATACATGCATGCATACATACATGCATACATACGTACACATATACATACATACATACATACATTCATACATACATACATACATACATACATACATACATACATACATGCATACATACATACATACATACATACACACACATACATACATACATACATACATACATACATACATACATACATACATATATACATACACACCTACATGTGTATACATACATATACACATATATGTATATATATATATAGAAGACTGCATTGGCGCTTCGCCCCATGCGCTTTGTTCCAGACCCTCCCTGGCAAAGCAATAAATCATCGCTTGCTTCAGCGGGGGGGACCTCGAAGCCTGGACGGGCAACCGGCTCATTTTTCTGATATCCTTGGTGCCTGTTCACACCGCGTTCGCCCGATGCGCTTGCACGCTTGTGCGCAGGAGTGGGCAAATAATGCTGATTCTTTCACGCGCGAAGACCCTTTGAGGAAGTGAAAAGCATTCCCATGACACGCCGAAGAAGTCGCATGAGCTACGAACAAACCGATTTCGGGTAGCTTCCTGAATGCCTGAGGGGCTCCATGCACTCAGGAAATCTTCGGTCGTCGATTTTCGAATCTAGATCCATTGTCTGTCTCTCTCGATCGAGGAACTTAAACCTCGAGCCTCAAGCGTGGAACCAGGATCTTCGGGTCGGCTCGATGTACCTCGTAGGAAAACGCCGTCTGGGCGTTTTTGGAACTGTTTTGGGCCGTCCTGGGGCCCTCTTGGGCCGTCCCGGGGCCTTTTTGTCCGTCTTGGGGGGCTGGGGCCCTCCAAAGGCGTTCTCAAGCCATCTAGGGCCCTCTTGGGGCCTCCAATGGCCTTTTTGGGGGTCTCCCATGGCGTTCGTGGGTCTCTCTTGGGAGCCCTCTGGGGGCATCTTGGGCTTTTTGCGAGCAGTCTCGGGCTCTCTGGGGCAGTCTTGGGGCCCTCTATGGCCGTCTCCACACTTCTGGTGGGCCTCCTGGGCCGTCTTGGGGCGATATCCGGGGCCCATCGGGCCGTATTGGACGCTGCGAAATCCCAAACAGCGGATATGTTGAGCTTATACGTTTTCGCGAAGGAATGGGACGATTTTTGCTTCTTCGGGGCTCGCTTCTTGGGGCGTCTTGGGGGCCTCTTGGGCCGTCTTCAGACCATCGACGTTCCTATTGGAGCGCTCTTATGCTATCTTGGGTCTCTCTTGCGCCTCTCCGATGACCCCTCTGATCGCCTTGAGTCTGCGCGCAAGGCCGGGCAAAATGCCCTGGGGGGCTCGGAAGGGCCAGCGGACCTTTTACAAGGGCGTCCAGGGGGCCGCTGAGACGTCCGGTCCAGTTTAGGGGGGAGGTCCGGGTAATAAAAATATAAGAATCGGACTATATGTGTTCTGAGAAAGTCTGGGTTGAAAGAAAGCCGTGTTGCTTCCTGGGCTCTTTCAGAGCTCTATGGGGGGGGGGGGGGCTGCTTCCCTTTGTCAAAGGTTGCACAAAGTTCCCCATTAGGGGAGATGCTTCTGCGTAGAATCCATTTGGGAAAAGGGCGGGGATTGTTTGCGCTTGTGGCTGAAGAGAGGGTCTCCCCCTGGGGAGAAGTTCTGAAGAAAAAGGTGAGACAACAACAAAAAAACTGCCTCCCTAAATCAACTGGCCATGGTCCCCCTCCCAAAGAAAACAAACAAAACTGCGCCAATGGATTTAGGGGGTCAGTGTTTTTTGTTCCCGGGATCTTTCCCCCCAGCCCGCCGTTCTTCTCCTCCCTGCTCCTCCTTCAACCCCCTCTGGGGACTCCTTGCACCAAGGAACCCTTACTGAGGAGATCCTTGCTAAGGGATGCTTCCCAAAAGGAACTATTATCAACCATCCCTTGCCGAAAGAATGCTTCGTACAGAGATTTTGTATAAACCAACAATCCGACGATAGGCCGTTTACGAAACGCACCCTTACCAAGTTCCCGTGCAAACAGGAAGCATTTGTCAGAACGAAAGGAAAGCTTACTGAAGAAATCCTAATTGCAGGTACCCTTAGAGGTGAATCCGTACTCAACGCATCATTACCAAGGGTTACTTACCAAAGGCACCATAAAGAAGGAACCCCATTCATAGCTCATATGAGGCATCCATTATAAGAGGTCTTGACGAAGGGAACAATTGCCGAGGACGTACTAAGGACCTAATTAGCAAAACAGCATTACTACTTAGTCCTTGCAAAATGTGTGTTTGATCAGGATTGCTCGCTGAGGGCCCTTGCTAAGAATCTCTCTCTCTCTCTCTCTCCCTCTCTCAACATCATTACTAAGAGATCTTCAACAAAAGAAGAACACGAAGGACTCATTACAAAAGGACTATTTCACAAATACCCCTTACTAGAGACGTCCTTATCACAGAAACCTGGTAAGAGCATCATTGCAGAAGGAGTCCGTCCTACAACCATGCTTTCTATGGAGTCCTTACTAAAGAGGTGTTTAGGAAGGACCCCCTCGAATCACACCGCCTTTACTGTGGAGCCCCTGCCGAGAGGAGCGCCTGTAATAAGTACCCCTTGCTAAAAAGACCCTGACTGAGAATTCGCAGAACACACCGGTCTTTACTGGTGACCACGTACCACAGGGATGCTTAGGACGGACCCCACTGACTACATGAATCCTCAACAAGGTCCCCAATACCCAAGGCGTCCTTATTACCGAGGAAGCCGTCCCAAAAGACGTACTACGCACAGGCGTCTTTACTGGGAGGTCCTCACTCAAGGGGTCCGCACTGCGGACTCCTCATCCAACACATGCTGACTACGGACTCCATACGACATTTGCCCTTCCTTAGAACGCCGTACTAAACGAATCCGTAAGGAGGGCCCCGCACGAAACACATCAATACTAGAGATTCCTTGCGCAACGGAATCCGTAATAAAGAAACCAGTAGTAAGGACTCCTTCATAAAATGCCCATTAATAAATAAACCATACTAGAGGCATGTTTGTCCAGGAACCCACGCTACAGGCTTCCTCAAACATATCCATGAGAAAAACATAGTTACGAAAAGGTGGAATCCCTGAAGGGTCCCTCTCTAAAAGCTGCTTACTACTGGGGCCCTGATTGAGGAGATCCTTACTACAGACACCTTCACTCGGGAATTATTTCTGAAGGGATGGTCCTTGAGGACTCCGTTCAAAATTACACAGGCGAAGGGCCCAACCATGTGAAGCTGCGGGTGCGAAGCAAGTGAAGAGAAACAGCAAGGGAAAAGTGGAGGAGTGACTGGTGCGCCGACACGGAGCGGGTGCGCCATGCGGACCTTGCCACTCAGGCCTTGCACGGAGCTCCCAATGGGGCCACGGCATGTGTGAGGTGTGAGCCGAATCGGACGCGGGTGCGCCATGCGGACCTTGCCGCTGTGGCATCTGGTGGAGCTCCCTAAGTACATCCCCCGGACGAAAGTTTTTCCTGTTTGGCCCGGAGCGGCGGTTTAAAGTCGTGCGCACAGACGTATGAAATAACCGCCGTCGGATGCAATGAAATTCGCGCGCATTCAATGTTGGTGTTGGTGTGTGCTTCGGTGGATCCGACATCTGTCCGCGCGGATCCGATTGCGGGTCTTCTGGATACGCGTCTTGTCTTATTTGTTACGGCGGAAACATTTCCTACCCCGCTCAACTTTATACAAATAAACTTCAACGGGGAACCGGAAGAAATCGGATCCGCGGACCCCGCGACCCTCCAGTGTTAAGATTTCAGGGGGGGAGGGGAGTTCGGTTATCAACTTTCTAAGATGGGCCCCACGCTGTCCCGCGCACTCCCATCAACTCTCCGCGCGCGCGGGCCCCACTCAACGTGAATACACGTCGCTCCGCCCAGTTGCTGCAAACAGCTCGTCTGGTCGCCGTGCACTCGGCGGCGCCAGCGTTGTCTCGCGAACTCCTCATCGCCATTATCACCTCAAGACGAAAATTGTTCGTCCTGCGTAGGTATGGGGCCACGGTACGTGTGAAGGGTGTGCCGAGTCAGATGCGGGTACGTCATGCGGACCCTGCGGCTGGGGCCTTCGGTGGAGCTCCCTTCGGGGCCGCGTGAGGGGTGTGTCGAATAGGATGCGGGTGCGCCATGCGGACCCGACCGCTGGGCCCTTCGATGGACCTCCCTACGGGGCCACGGCACGTGCTGCGAGGGGTGTGCCGAGTCGGGTGCGGGTGTGCCCCTGCCCGCTGGGACCTTCGGTGGGGCCTGGCGATGGGGCCACGAAACGTATGAGGGGTGTGCCGGATCGGGCGCGGGCACGCCATGCGGACCCTGCCGCTGGGGCCTGCGGTAGAAATCCCGATGGGCCACGAATCGTCTGAGGGGTGTGCGGAATCGGGTGCAGGTACGCCATGCGGACCCTGCCGCTGTGACCTTCGGTGGAGTCCCCTATACGGGGCCATGAAACGTGAGGGGTTTGCCGAATCGGGTGCGGGTACGCATGATGGTGATGAGATGAGGGCATATGCAGGGCAGAAACAGGGATGGGGGGAGGGAGGACGGGGAGAAGAAAGGAAGAAGGAGGAGGAAAGGAAGGAGGAACGCGGGGCGCTGTCTCTGCAAAACGAAAACCCAAACACCACAGGATGGTTGATTGGGAGAACAATCTTCTTACCAGAAACTCCTTACTGAAAGGAGTCCTGGATCACTATTCCTTACGAACGGACTCAAACCAAATATCATCGATGGCACCATCATCTTCAGTGCCACATTGAGAAAGAAAAAAAGCGGACGTGAAGTCTCCCAACCCGCACCCCCCCTCCTCCACCTCCTTCTGCCCCTCCTCATCCACCTTATCCGTTCGACCTGGACTCAACCACGGGGCTCGTTGCGTCTGATGTCTTACGTAGATATGGTTTTTCCTGCGTCTCCTACCTCCGCCTCTGGCCCCGAACGTGATCCCTCTCAGACATGACTCTTTCGCTGGCACCGTTATCTGGCCCGCCAAGCTGTCTTCAACCTCCTCCTCATAACCTTTGGCTCCTCCGTCTGTTTTTAACAAGCACACACACACACGCACAAACACACGCACACACACAGACACACACACAAACGCATCCTGGTGTGATGTAGCATGTCCCCGTCCTCCCAGCGCCAGCCCAGACGAGGCCAGGACAGAGGCGGATCATGGAAGGGCGGAGGCACAGGCGGCGGCGGAGGGGGGGGAGGAGGACGAGGCGAAGGCGGAGCGAACCCCCCTTCTCGTCTCTCCTCCGCCGCACTGCGCCTCCGTCTCCTCCAGAGGCGTCTCGTGAGTTACACGGCCGAGAACATCCACATGCCGTGTGTTGTGGTGATGGTCCCAGCGATTTGGCGTCGGACCGCGCCGACTCCACGTGGAAACGGAACCCGTCGCCAATCCGCGCGCCTGATAATCCATGCTCGCGCTCCCTCAAGGGATGGCACCCGGAACCGACATGCCCCCTTCCCGCGCCCGCCCTGGGGAGACCAAGAAGTACCGGTACCGCTACTCCCCGGACCTCTCCCGGGGGGCGTTCTAGAAGACCAGCATTGCGAGGCGAATCCAGCGGTGGCGACGACGGCCTCCCAGGAGGCCCAAGAAGGGGAAAACGGGCGAAGGGGTAGGAGGAGGAGGAGGAGGGAGGAGGAGGAGGAGGAGGAGGAGGGAGGAGGAGGAGGAGGAGGAGGAGGCGGAGGAGGAGAAGGAGGGAGGAGGAGGAGGAGGAGGAGGAGGAGGAGGCCCAGAGGTGTGGGTACCTTTTCCTCCTCTGACGCCCTCCGCCCACCCCGCCGCCCCGCCGGCGCCTCCCGCAGCACTGGCGGCACCGGCCTCGTCGGCCGCACCTTGGGCGAGTCTGCTCCCGGCTCGCTGCGCCGACCCCGCGCTCGGCCAGCGCGCTCGCCGTCGTCGACGCCGCCGCCGTCGCCGTCGCCGTCGTCGCCGCCCTGCTCGTCGCCACCGTCGCCGCCGCAGTCGCGCTCGTCGTTGCCGCCGCCGCCGTCGCCGTCGCCGTCGCCGCCGCCGTCGCCTCCGTCGCCGCCGCCGTCGCCTCCGTCGCCGCCGCCGTCGCCTCCGTCGCCGCCGCCGTCGCCGCCGCCGTCGCCGCCGCCGTCGTCGCCGTCGCCTCCGTCGCCGCCGCCGCCGTCGCCGCCGCCGTCGCCGCCGCCGTCGCCGCCGCCGTGGTGCTCGCTCTTTAGCGCGTCTGGGGTGCTCTTGGAGGCATGTTGGGAGTCTCGGGGGCAATCTTCGGGGGAAACGCTCCCAAGGTCCCTTCGCTGCTTTTGGGGCTTATTGTGCCGTCGGCAGTGTTTCTTGCGCCGTCATGTTCCCTTCTTGGGCCATCTTGGGGCCCTCGTGGGAGCTTCTTACGTAGGTTGTATCGTGGGCGGTCTGCAGGGCCTCTTTGGCCGCGCTGGGGCCCCGAAGCTCGAAAACTGCAACAACAGAAACCATGATTTGGGGCTCTCGAGGCCCCCTTTAGGGGTCCCCTTAGGGCCCCCTGGCGGAGTGTTCGGGGCATCCGTCTGGACAGCATGCTGGGCCCGCCCTCTTGGGCAAGCTCGGGATGCCCCGCATCCCTCCGCGAAACTTGCCGCAAGTCTTGCCCGCGCAATGTCGGTTCCCTCGGGCCCAAACAACTTCCGCGGTGATGCCGAGGGGTGCCGAGGCAAGTGACTTCACACATCTTCCGTCAGCGTCAGCCAAAACCGCGCCGCGCGCGCCACTGAACACTGAAATTGGGGAGGGGGGGGCAGAGGAGGGCGGCAAGACTTGCTGCAAGCTTCGCGGAGGGAAGTGGGGCCGTCTTGGAGCCCTCCCAGGACTCTCTGGGGCCGTTCTGGGGGCCCCCAGGTGGCCAGGGGCGCGGGATGCTGGGGCCCTCTTGAACCGTCGTGGGGGCCACGCCAACCCGCACAGGCACACTGTCGACTTCTGGCGGCGAGCCCTGGGGGGGAATGAGAGAGGGGACGGGCCTTCTCAGGAGGCTCGGAGGGCCTCGGGGAGTTTTCTCAGCCTTCCCCGAAGACAGAGCGCGCTTCCCGGAAGGCGCGGGGCCTTCCGAGAAGCCCCGCCGCCTCCTGAGACGGCCTGCCCCCGCGCACGCCACCCCCGCGCTGGCCGCCGAGATTTGCCTGAAGTAGCGCAGTGCACTTCCGGAAGAGCTCGCCCCCTCCCGCCCAGCTCAAGATGTGGCGCACCTTTCTGCGCGACCGCTTGCGAATCGGCGCCCCAGGCCGGCGAGGTGGTTGAGCGATCTCAGCAGACATTCTCGTCGCATCGGTCGCAAGAGCCTCCAGGTCTGCCCAAGAGACCCCTGAGACCAGCCCAAGACGACCCCAAAGGCCCCCAAAGACGACCGACGAGGGACCCCCAAACCACGCCACAATCTGCGCTCTCGGAAGCAAACCGCTCCAAGACCCGCTAGAGGCACACCAGAGGCCCCAAGACGGACCCGATTGTTCCACAGGAGGGCCCCCGGGAGCCCCCCAAGAGGCCCCTCCGAGATCCCTCAAAATGTCCCCAAGACCTTTGGAAAGCGACCCACGCACCATGGGCGCCCCAGCTGCACCCATTTCCAGGTCGACGGAACCGGCCGTGAGGCCTCGCTTGCGCCTTCCCCCCTCGCTCCCACCGGCCTCGCTCCCCACCCTCCTGCGCGCCGCCATGCACGACCACCTGCGCAGCGGCGCCCGAGGCCGACGAGGCACAACCTATACCACCGATCACACAGTGCGGCCGCCTCTGAGAACAGAGACCTTATCCTCGCGGGGGGAACGACCGGCATCGACCAACGCGGCCGCCCAAGATCGAGCCACTCTGCCGCGAGGCACTGGCTGGATCGGATGGCGTTTCTTCAAGCCCCTCCGAGCTCTCAAGCTGCAGCACTGTCAGCCCAGTGCAAGGACCCCACATCTCCGACCTGACTCCCAAGGCGCAGGGGGCCTGCGGGGAATTTGGTGCGAGGACGTCTCGAGCGAGCACGCCGCATTGGGACACGCGCCGCGCGCCCAGTGCATCCCCAGAAATGGGCTCTGGGGGTGCGCCGGGACGCGACATTCTCGCGCGCCAGGGGTCAGGATGACGTGCATTCAACAGAAACTCCCTCAAATTAAACCTCCACTGAGATCCGACGACTCGAGAAAAATGAAAAATCGTGAAGCATCACGACTGGAGCCCTAGACCTAGACCCAATCTTTCTGCATCATGTTTTGCGCCGGATCGATCTGTGAGGGCCCCGGGGCCCAGCATTGGGCGAAAACGCATGGCTCGAAAAAATTGAGTCGCCAGGATCTCAGGGTCATGGTGAGAAATAAAAGTCGGTGCCCTGGGAGATGAAGCACCCCATGCAGTAATGCAGTCCCCTGCATTGGAAATCCGCCCGCCAGCGGCGCCGTGGTGGCAGCAAAGCCCGACGACAACGCCGTTGTCGCCCCCAAGTTATCCGCCACCACCGCGTCGGACTCTTGATGATCCTCCTTACACTTCTCCGAGGGGAAGCCCGCTGCCACCGCCCAGCATCGTCTTGGACAGCGTCGTGCTAAGGCCACTCGTGAGGCCCCAGAGGGTGAACCTTGAGCAGGGACCGACCGTCCTGGCATTTGTATAGGCCTACCACGAAATGTTCTTAGAACCCAACAATGTTCTGAGAACCAAAAGGATGTCGCTAGAACATAAGCCCGATGTGTTAAAACAGAACCGTCCCAGCCAGAAATGTTCTAAGAACATTTCGTAGAAAAACCACAACAGGTTCTGAGAACATTCTTTGGTGGGCCTCTAGGCGAGCCAGGACGCTTCGCCACTGCTCGACCAGGGGGTGAACCAACCTCGCCCTCCGTCGTGTAGAATCCCTGGCGGCTCGAACAAAGCGGCCCAACAGCTTTCGCTAGTGTCGGCGTCAGGAGGTCAGTTCCTGGCCCCGAGACAGGTCAACGAACGACTCGGGATGAGGTGCCAGTCCTGGGGAAGGGGTTACTCCTGGGGCCGGCCTCGGAAAAACGAGGCGGCGAAAGCTTGGCACTTATTCCTCCTCCTCCTCCTCCTCATCCTCCTCCTCTTTCGCCTCCCCACCATCATCAGCAGCAGAATGATCATTATCCGTATCCTCATCCTAATCGTCATCCACATCACCATCATCATCACCATCGACGCCGTCATCGTCATCACCATCGTCGTCATCATCGCAATCATCATCTCGATGCCAGCATCACCACCATCATCACCACTATAATGATCATGATGCTCATCACCATCACCATGATGATCATCAGCATCACTTCAATCATCATGACCAGCAACATCAACACCATCAACAACAACAGCATCACGGCCATCATCACCATCATGATCTTCATCAACATCTTTATCATCACCATGATAATATTCATCGTCGGCATCACCATTGTCGTCATCATTACCATCACAACCATCACCGTTATCAGTATCATCATCGCCAAGGCCATCACCATCATCAGCACCATCATCATCAGCATCATCATCATCATCATCATCATCAACAACATTATCATACCACGATGATCGTGCTCAGCATCATCATCAGCGACGTCGACACATACATCGTCGTCGTCACAATCATAATCACTACCACCATCAAAATCACCATCACAATCACACGAATCATCATCATGACAATTACTCGTCGCCATCATCATCATGATCACCATCGTGGTCGTCATCATCAGCGTCGTCCTCGTCCTCGTCGTCAGCATCATCATCATCATCACAACCGTATTCATCAGCATCGTCATCATCATTGCCATCACCATCAACAGCATCCTCACCATGATCCCCATCACCGTCACCATCACCATGATCAGCATCACCATCATCAGTAGTATCGTCATAATGCTCATCACCATTATCATCCTCGGCGTCGTCATCATTACCCTCATCGTCGTCATCATCACATTCGTCATCATCACCGCCCATCATCATCATCAGTATCAGCATCATCGTCATCATCACCACCACAATCACCATCACAAGCATGATCATCACCATCATCATCACTGTCGTCAACAACATCATCATCATCGTCATCATCAGCATAATGACCATATTCGTCACAATCATCACCACCACGACAATCATCGTCATCATCATCACCATCACAAGCAACATCAGCACCACCATCGTCACCAGCATCCTCATCACCATCATCGCCATGATCATAATCATCAGCATTGCCATCGTCGGCGTCATCATCATCGTCATCAGGATCACTGTCGTCGTAGTCAACATCATCATTATCACACGTATTGGGACCGTCATGACCACCAATTTCACCATCATCACCAACATCACCATGACAATCTCAATCACCAACGTCATCATGATCATCATCGTCACTATCACCATCACCATCACCATCATCCGTGTCATCTTCGTCGTCATCAGCATCGTCGGCGTCAACGCCACCTTCACCATCACAATAATCATCATCATAGTCAAAGTATTACCCCTCATGGGCATCACAATCATCATCACCATCACCGTCACCATTACGACCACCATTACAATCATCATCACCACCATCGAGCTCACCATAGCCATCATCAGCAAGATATGCACAATCATCACCATCATCATCGTGAGTATCCTCATTACCGTCGTCATCATCATCGTCGTCATCATCATAAACATTAGCATCATCACAAGCATCGTCATCATTATCACCTTCACCATCACCATCACCATCACCGTGTTCACCATCATCATCTACAACATCGCCATAACCATCATCATCATCATCCCCATCATCACCATGATCACCATCGTCGTCGACACCATATCGTCGTCGTCATCATCGTCATCATAGAAGTGATCATCATCGAAGTCATCATCACCATCACCATCACCATCACAACCATCAAAATCAAAAGAATCACCATCACCACCACCATCTCCACTATCAGCATATCGCCAGCACCGTCATCATTACCATCAGCACCATCATCAATTTCAGCATCACATTCACAATCACCATCACCACCACCATCATCATCATCGCCATCACCATCATCTGCGTCATCGCCATGCGCACCATCACCATCACAATCACCATCATCAGCATTGTCATTACCATCACCATCACCACCATCATCATCGTCATCATCGCAATAATCAGCATTGTCATCATTAACACCATCATATTAACAATGGACAGTAGCATCATCAGCACAATCTGAATCACAATCTTCATAATCGTCATCACCACCATCACCATCATCACAATCATCATCTTCATCATGATAATCGTCATCACCTTCATCATCCCCATTACCAGCAACATCCACAGCATCATCCACAGCATCATCATCACCATCATCATCACCATCATCATCACCATCATCATCACCGTCGCAATCATCATAGTTGTCATCATCATCATCAGCATCATCATCATCGTCAACATCATCATAGTTATCGCGATCACGATCATCATCATCAACAGCATCATCATTATCAACGAAATCATCATTCATCATCATCGCCATCATCGCCATCACCGTCATCACCAACATCACCATAATCACCACAACAATATCATCATCATCATCACCCTCACCGGCACCATCCTCATCACTGACAGCAGCATAGACCACGCCGTCAGACGCAGAATCGGCACGAACGCCATCACCGCCACCATCAGCAGCATCATCAGCACCTCCAGCACCATCGCCATCTACACTCAGCGCCACACACTCAGCACCACACTCAGCACCAGCACCTCCACTAGGCCCTTACCATTATAGGAAGGCGCCTATGCTTAAAAACTTATTTGACGAGGCCCTTACCATTATAGGTAAGCGCCTATGTTAAATACCTATGTAACCACCACCAGCATGGCCACCATCGTCCTCGTCCTCATCCTTCCTCATCGTCCTCATCCTCATCCAGCATCCGTCCTCATCGTCCTCATCCTCATCCTCATCGTCCTCATCCTCATCGTCCTCATCCTCATCATCCTCGTCCTCATCACCAGCATGGCCACCGTCGTCCTCGTCCTCCCCCCGCCCCTCCCGGCCGCGCCGCCCCCCGCGGGAGGCGCCGCGCAGCGCGGCGGCCGAATCATCTGAGGCCCGGCTCCTCTGCCCTCTCGGCCCCCTCCGAGCTGGAGCCGCTGCTCAGGGCCGGCGGGAGGTCGTCGGGCGGCTGGGCGTCCGAGGCGCGGAGGCGAAGGGTTAAGTCGGGCGTGTCCCCCTACAGGGGGAGTGTCAACGAAAAATCAAGAATACCCCCCAAAATAGTTCAAAAATTGTTCTAAAGATAGTCTGGGGACCATTTTTCGATCTGTTTTTGACCTGTTGGGGGCATTTTTGGGGGATGTTTTATTTTTCGTTGAAAATCCCCCTGTAGGGGGACAGGCCCGATGTAAGGCGAGGGGGAGAGCCCAGAGTGTGAAGGTTCCTTTGCTCGGCGTTCCGGCACTGGGGCGGAAGGGGGGGGAGGGAGGAGGCGGGGGGGGGGGTGTCCTGGCTCCGGGCCTCTGCTCACTGCGACCGTTTGCGCCAGCGTGTCCTATGGGGGAGGGGCTCCACCTGCTGCAACCAGGCACCAAAGACAGCCAAGATCTACTCCAAGGGGGGGGGCCCGCGCCGATCAGCAACACATTGAATTAAAAAACGATCATAATAGAATCGTTTGCTTTTGTTGCTTTGTTTTTTTTGGTGGCAAATGATGACTCCGTCGCCCTGCGCTGCAAATCACCGCAGCGCAGCTGTGCCACAGCGTGCGACGGAGGGCTGCACGGTGGCCGCCAGAGTGGGTCCCTGGGCCCGCGCGTGCAGCACAGCATGGGAGCGTGAGACCACGGGGGCGGGGCAGGGGCGAGACGAGCCCGGAGAGGTATGGCCCGAAGCCAAACCACAACGACACGCCCCGAAGGCGGCAGCCTCGCATCGGAAGCTCGGCCGGCGATCGACAGCCACGGCTTCGGCACCACGTCGGCGGCCGAGCGGGGAGGAAGCGGAGGCGGCGGAGAGATTGGCAGGCGAGCCTCCACCGAGACCTCGGTGCCAGAACCGCCACCCGAGGCTGGCTGGGAGGGGAGGCGAAGGCCCCCGAACTCGAATCCTCCTCCTCCTCCTTCCTCCTTCACCCTCCTCCTCCTTCCTCCTTCCTCCTCCTCCTCCTCCTCCTCCTTCCTTCTCCTCCTCCTCCGAACCCGAGGAATCGGAGCGAGCCCTGGGACGGGGACGGCACTCCCCCCCCTGCGATCCCGACGCGCGTCAAGCCGCCGCTCCCTCTCCCACGTGTCCTCCTCCGCGGGCGCGGCTGCTCCTCCGACGAGCGGCGGGACAGGGCAGTGGCGCTCGCCCCGTCGGGAGCCCAGCATCGAATCGGCAAGTCTCAGGGAGCCCACAAAGGACGTACGCGACCAGTTATGCACATGAACACGGCCCCTTGACCCGCGAGACCGGCCGCGTGATACGAACAGTCGCGCAATGCGAACTCTCGAAACCAGCGTGGATTCATGTGCGTGTACGTCCTTCTTTCGCTCCTGATTCAAGTCGGATCGGCGATCGAACTGATTCGCATCGGCGGAAATCGGCAGACAGGTCGGGAGAAGTCGAATCGGCAGAAATCGGGAGGCTAGTAGGCCTTCATTGAGGAATCGGAATCCAAATCGGAATGCGAAATCGAATCGAATCGGAATCGGAGGCCATCAAAATCGAATCGGGTCGAACCGACGGAATCGAAACGAGCCCTGCCCCGTCAGCTGTTCCCCCCTTTGGTTAGGTCGGGCATGTCTTCCTACAGGCGGAGTTTGGACGAAAAAGTTCTAAAATAGTCAAAACATGTTCAAACATACTCAAAAGAAGTCAAAAAATCGCTCCCATACTATTTTTTGATTATCTTTGAAGATTCCTCCTGTAGAGGGACAGGCCCGACTTAAACCTCTGGGCTCAGCATGCGCACTGGACGACCAACGGTGGGCACACGCGGCTGCTCCCTGTGTAAAAGGTGACCAAGTCCACCAACATGTCCCATGGCACGCTGAGGCGTGCGAAGGGCTGACTGGTAGGGGTGCCGCGCTGTTCTGAAGGACCATCCCCTCTCGCTCACGCTCACGCTCACTCGCAAGCATCGCCTCTCCATTTCCTTTGAACAAGATAGACCCACGAACCCAGATGGACTCCACCCCACGGCCCCAGAAACCGTCAAGATCAACCCAACACGGCCCAAGAGGGCCACCAAAATGGCCGAATGATTCTCCTAGACTGCCGCAAGACACCCCAAGAAAGGCCCCAAGGTCTCTCGGCGGCCCCAAGGTAGCCCAAAGCTGGCACAAGAGGGCATCCCGAGGCATCAAAGATGGCATTTCACAGCCTTACGACTGCCCAATGTAGCCCTAAGACTGCGCCACGACGGCTGCAAGGGACCCCGAGGCAAAACAGAGGGCCCCGATACCCAAGACAGCCCAAGAGAGCCTCAAGACGGCCCAAGAGGCCACCCAAGCAGCCAAACGTGGCCAAGGAGACACCCCAGACTGCGCCCCAGGAGCCCAAATAAGGGACGGAGGAAAGAAAGAAAAAGACGGACACGAGGAAGAACTGCCCACACGAAGAGGATGACAATCACATGTTGCGGCTCTCACAATTCTGGGTGCAAAATCTGTCGAGTGTTACGGCCTCCCGTGCCCCTTCGAACAATCGCCATCCTGACTGCTGAGCTGGCACGGTGGTGGGATGTGCCGCGGGCAGCTGGATATAAAGGACCGTGGCGCAGGACATGACGACACATGGCCAATACAAGTAGACAACTGCAAGCCCTCCCCGACCCCACCCAATCGCCCTGATACCCCCCACTGATCCTCATCCGTCTTCCCCATCGCCCCATTGCTTCTCGCGCTGTGGTCCTTCGTCAGTCGCGTCGCTCGTAGCCGCACCCCCCCCCTAGACTTACTACTTTGTTTTGAGGAGCAGTAGATGGGAGCGGACAGAGCTAGTATACACCTTGTGGTCGACAACCGCGGGAGCGGAAATCCTGCTCCCCGCTAGAAGTGAGACGGAAACGCAAGGGGGTCACCTGTGACAACCACTGCCCGGGCGAGCGGCGGAGGAGGAGGAGGCGAAGGAGAGGGGGGGAACAGGAGGGAGGGCAAACTCACCCTGGATTCACCACGCTGGCATCCCCCGCTCCTCCTCGGCCTCCACCCTCTCCTCCCCCGCTACACGTCCATCGTGCACGCGGGGGACGCAGCATGCTCCCTGCCCCCCCCCCCTGCCCCCACCCCCCGCTGTGCGGCACCGCCGCTGCTGCCTGCTGCAGCCCCGAGAGCGCTGGCAGCGCCGGCAACACCGGGCGCGCCCCCTTAGAGGCGCCCCGCCGTCTCGCCCCGGCCGCACTGCCGGTGGCATAGTAGTTGTGCTCGTCGTCGTCGCCGTCGGCCTCCTCCCGCCGCCCTCCTCGCCCGTGTGATGCGGGCCTCGCTGGGTGCGAGGCGAGGATTTAAGCAGATCCACCGCCTGGGAGCCGACGTCCTGGTGCCCCGGCGGGCGATGGATATGGATACATGTCGGCTCCTGGGGCCCCGACCGAATATGTCCATATCCACCGCCTGCCAAGGCTCCGAAAACTGACCCTCCAGGTGGTGGTCATGTATAAACTCCCGCCCCGGACTGGGGAACTGGGGAATCCATCGGTGTGAGAGGGGCCGGAAATCTCGGCCTCTCTCGGGTCACGGCCCACCTGGCAGTGCCAACATCGACGCAGGGTCGGACCACGCCTGTGTCCTGAAGTCAAGAATCTGGCGAGGAGGGGGATGGGTCGCCGCGCATCGAAGACGACGTTGATACCGTCACGCGGCCCGCCTGGCTCCATGACTTGATACGCATGCGGCTGCATCATGGGCTCTTTCCGAAAGCAACACAAACATCAACCTACATGAAAATACGTAACGCGCAAAGTCAAGACCACAATCAGGGAACCCACTCGTTCAGACCTGATGCGCTCACGGGTCGCTACGACACGCTCAGACTGCACAAGCAAACGCGTCGATATCAACATGCTTTTCCGAGACAGGCTTTGGAGACAAAAAGCCGACACCAGCAGCAAGAAAATTGTTCCGCGAACATTTGAATTGCGCTTTGGGCAAGCGCGACCCCGCCCCGGCCTGAGGAAACGCAGAGCGGCCGGGGAGGGCGGGGGAAGGTTGACGTCGAGCAGCAGGCAATCAGGGGGGAGAGCAGGAAACGAAAAATGCAAGCGAGAAGCGAAACTGGCAGGCTCGATCGCTTCCGATCAGGACGAATTCAAGAGCTGTCGACTGTCACAACGGTCTGGATCCATGACGTGCTGTTCTGGAGAAGCTACCCTCCCCCCCCCGCCGTCCACACCTACAGGGCAGCTCCAAATACATAGGACTTTTAAACATATAAGATTTCAATACATGATTTCCTCGTTGTTTTTAGTACCAAATCCCTGCATGTTTAATACATGATCCGCACGCGGAGCATGTTTAAAAAACGGCACTGTACCCCTTCCCTCATCATCCTCCCCTCCCGAAGCGAGACAGAGCCCGCAACCGTGCCGTGCCTCCAGGCACGGAGTGGGCGTGCCCGGAGGGTCCTTTGCCCATGGAGGAAGGAGAAGGAGGAGGAGGAGGAGGAGGAGAAGGAGGAGGAGGAGGAGGAGGAGGAGGCGGAGGAGGAGGAGGAGGAGGAGGAGGAGGAGGAGGAGGAGGAGGGGGAGGAGGAGGAGGAGGAGGAGGAGGAGGAGGAGGAGGAGGAGGAGGAGGGAGGAGAGGAGGAGGAGGAGGAGGAGGAGGAGGAGGAGGAGGGAGGGAGGAGGAGGAGGAGGAGGAGGAGGGAGGAGGAGGAGGAGGAGGAGGAGGAGGAGGGAGGGAGGAGGAGGAGGAGGAGGAGCAGGAGGAGCAGGAGGAGCAGGAGGAGGAGGAGGAGGAGGAGGAGGAGGAGCCTCAGTCCTCACTCCCGAAGAGTCCCGCAGGGGTCCCGAGCCCAAGTTGCCAGATCGCCCGGGGCTTCCCGCGTGCCCCTGGGGCCTGCCGCGGCCTGTCGCGTGAGCCTCTCGGGCCCACGAGGGCCCCAAGGCGGGCCCACGAGGGCCCCAAAAGGCCCTCCAGGACGGCCCAAGGAGGCCCGGGTCGCCGAAGGATAGCTCCAAGACGCTCAAGACGGCTCCCAGGCGGCCCAAGAGGCCTCTAAGACGCCCAACGAGGCCTCCAAGAGGCCTCCCAGGAGAGCCCCAAAAGGCCAACATCATTGATTTCCTGTGGTTTTTGAAGGATTTTAGCGTTCTCGCCTTTTCGGCTTCCCGACGCTCGCAGACGGCCCCAGAGGCCCCCAAGACCGCCCCAACACGGCCCAAGAGGCCTCTAAGGGGGCCCCAGAACGGCCAAAGAGGGCCCAAAGAGACGCCAAGAGGCGCCCGAAACACCCGAAGACGGCCCCAAAGGCGGCCCAACAAAGGGAACACGAACAGAACAACCCAAGCCATCCGCCCCAAGAGGCCCCCAGGAGGCCTGAAGAGGCGCCCAGCCCCCCAAGGGGCCCCAAAGGAGCCCAAAGAGGCCCGAAAGAGGCCCCAACGAGGCCCAAAAGAGGCCCCCAAACGGCCCACAAGAGGCGTCCAAACTGCCTGCAAGAGGCCTCCGAGAAGCCTCCCACGAGATCCCAACGAACATCCCATAGGCTTCATACTCACAACCAGGCACGGTGGCGGGATGGGCCGAAGGCCGTAAGGCACAAGAGGCCCCCAAGATCGCCCCAAGATCGCCCAAGAGGCCTCCAAGAGCGCCCCATGACGGCCCAAGAGGCCTCCAAAACGGCCCGAAGAGGGCCCCAAGACGGCTCAAGAGGCCTCCAAGACGCCCAAGATGGCCTCCAAGACGGCCCCGAAGCGCCACAAGACGGCCCCAAGTCGGTTCGGAGAAGCCCCCAAGACGGCCCCCGACGGCGTCAGACGGGTCAGGAACGCCTTCAGACGGCCAACGAGGCCGCCGAGAAGCCACCGAAGGGCCCCAAGAGGCCCTCAAGAGGCTCTACGAGAGCCCAAGATAGCCCCAACATGGCCCCCAAGACGGTACCAAGATGGCTCAATCGAGCCCAAGAGTGCCTCAAGAGGCTCCGAAGAGGCATACTCCCTCCTTATCCATCTTCCTCATTCTCCTCCTCTTCCTTTTTCTCCCCCAAGTGTTTCCCGAAGGCTTTCCAAACCGACTCGGGGAACACATGATCCGCTAGCTTGGCCAAGCTCTAGCCCAGCTGTCGACCGCGTAGGCGCTTACACAAGGGCGAATGCGACCTCGGACTCCTCTTGTTCCTTCTCATTTTCTCCTTGTCCCCCTCATCCCCCTTGCCCCCGCGTCTCCCCTGATGAGTCATCAGGCCCGATCGAGCCCAAGGGTGCCTCAAGGGGCTCCGAAGAGGCCTCCTCCCCCTTCTCATTTTTCCTCATTATCCTCCAGCTCCTTGACCACGTGTTCCCCGAAGGCGTTCCAGACAAACTCGGAGAAATCATGGTCCGATAGTTTGGCCAAGCTCTAACCCAACTTTCGGCCACAGAGGCGCTTCCACGAAGGCAGGGGGGGGGCGGTGATTTGCCGCAGGCGTCTTCGATGCCGAGGAATACGTATTCGCACAGCGGCGGACAGCCCTGGATTGTGACAGCTCGGGCACCAGGCCCATCGGCATCCTCGCCCTCCTTCTCACCCAAAAACTCTCACACGCCTCCACCTCCAACTCAAGCCCCTCCTCTGGGGAAGCACACGCAGTGCCAATGACACGCCGCCGTGCGGGACCCATCAGCGCGCTGCTGCCAGATAAGCGCCAGGCCTTCGGACAGAAACGAAGCGGCAACGCGCTGAAGGGCCCCCGACGGGGGGCGTGCCATTGATGTACTCGTCCTCGCTTCAGTCGACCAGGACTTCGCCTCCGAGCTCGCTGCTTGCTCCCTGACAGACCCCCCGCCCGTCCGACGCCCGCCAATCAGCAGCACGGCGATGGAGGAAGAGGACGAGGAGGAGGAGGAGGAGGAGGAGGAGGAAGAGGAGGAGGAGGAGGAGGGGGGGAGGAGGAGCAGGAGGAGGAGGAGGAGGAGGAGGAGGAGGAGGAGGGAGGAGGGAGGAGGAGGAGGAGGAGGAGGAGGACGAGGAGGAGGAGGAGGAGGAGAGGAGGAGGCTGAGGCCGGAAGAGGCTGACTGAGGCCCGCTCCGCTGCTCGCGCGCTGGACACGGCGCTCGTGTTCACGGGCATCACGTCGCCGGGCAGGACCTCCGGTGTCGGGCAGCGAGGCCGCTCGCTCTTGCAATATGCATGCTGCATGTCTTGTCCCTCTTCGTCCAGATCCTTTTGCTACACCAGATGCTATCACGAAGACGGATGTGCGATTTCGGGGGGGGGCGTCGGATTTGAGCTGCCTGGGAAGGCTGGGTGGGGTCTGGCGAAAAGGTCCGCTGTCTCCCGACTGGGGGGGTCTGACACGGAGCGTCTGGGAGGGTGCACCCCCCCCTGTTGTAAAATTTGGAACTCATCCTCATCCTTTCCTGCCCTTTGCCTCCTTCTACCCCAGACGAGCAGCACGATGAGGGAGCTTACTCCGCCAGTGAAGTCAGGTGGGCTGCATCTCACATGCGGTAGCGATTCGCGAACCGCGTGTTTAGCAAAAGGAGAAGTTAGCTGCATTTCGGTTTACAAGTGCCTTTCCAGACGTGGTTGCGATTGACGTTGCACCAGTTCTTGTCAATTAATGTAACTACGAGAGCGAACGCATGCCAACACGTGGCAGATTCCGAAAATCATGAACCCAGAACTGTTGGGACATGTTGTCATCTCTTGCGAGGCCGATAAGTATTCCCGATGGCGGAGCCGCCCCCGTTTTACTTCCGCCGCCTTCCCCCGCCTTCCACCGAGGAAGAGATGCCAACTCCTTCGATCCTGGATCGCAAGGCCCTTCCTGGAACGCCTCACGTGATGGAACTGGTAGGACGTGTTGAAACACATAGGACGTATCAGCGAGCCGCGCCCGTTCTCCTTCTGCAATCCCAGAAGGAGTCGCACCAGCAGCAGTGGTGTTAAAAGAGTGGTGGCCGTGGTATTCGCGGCAGCGGTAGTAATCCCACCAGCCCTGGTCCGAGGTGGTCTAGCGTCCAGCGCCTGGCGCGCTCTCTCTTTCCCCAGAGATGAGGGCAACGTGCACTCTGCGGCAAACACTGGACCGTGCGCGGGCACCGCGCGATCCCTAGAAGAAGGAGACGGAACGGCACAAGCATGAACTTTCGGCGCTCCGCGTGGATCTCTCGGATCTGCGAGGAGCCCTCCCTCAAATGGCGCGCGGAGCGCGCCAGGGGCCCAGCGCGGACCCAAGAAGCCCGCGCGCAGCGCCAAAAATTCATGCTTCTGGCGCTCCCTCGTTTTCGAAGCAGATTCTCGCAGGGACAATGGGGGGGGCAGCGTATTGCCTGCTGCGTGCAGGCCCACGACACCGGCCGGAAATTCGGCATACGCTTGGCGGCAAAGTCTGGATCATGCGCGGGTGCATAAGCTAGAACCCTGCATCTGGTTAGGGTTTGGACCGAAGACTGCCCGGAGAGCGTCCCAATAGCGTCTCGAGGAAGCGCTCCGAGAGGGCTTGCAAACGCGACTGACGTTTCGCGCCCGCGGGGGGCCAGCGTGGGGGAGGTGGCCTCACTGCACCAGGGGATGCGAGGCCCGAGCAGAGCAGCGCGCACCACGACCACGACGACGCCGACCACGACGACGCCGACCACGACGACGAGGAAGACGCGGCGCGCAGACCCTTCGCGCCCACGAGGGGCCAGCGTAAGAGCCTCCCCCCCCCTTGTTCAGCGATTTCGGCACGGCGGGGGCATCTTTGGGAGGCGCTCGGGCCACCACTGCTCCCATAGATGGCCTCGGGGAGCCGACGCTGGCCTGCCATGTGGCCCCGATCGCACACGATGGCCACCGCCATGCTTCCAAGAACTCGAGCAGGAGATCAGCACAACATCGATTCCCCCAAAACCTCATGTCTGCCCGTCGAGCCTGCGAACAGTACTAAGTTCAAGGGAAGAAGCATCCAAACATCGGACAGCTCGCCCCTTTGCCCCCCGCCAGCCCCACGCCAAGGGGCGATCATATATTTATTTTATACACAAAGATATACACACATATACGGGCACAGCACCGCGCTGCATGCGTAGCCTTCGGCTGGGCCAGGCAGGGCAAGACCCAACACAGTATCGCGTGGCGCGTGGATGCCCGCACTGGGCGCCAGCGAAGTCTCCTCGACCCCTGGCCTAAAACTGCCAGCGAAATATCCTTACCGCCCTGGCGTAACACTGCCAGCGAAAGATCCTCACACCCCTCAGCGGAATATCCTCACCCCATGGCCTAAAAATGCCAGCGAAATATCCTCACACCCCTCGCTTGAAGCTGCAAGCGAAATATCCTCACACCACTCGCTTGAAACTGCCAGCGGAATATCATCCACCCCCTGACTTCATACTGCCAGCGAAATACCCTCACACCCCACGAATAAAACTGCCAGCGAAATATCCGCATCCCCTGGCCTAACACTGCCAGCGAAATATCCTTAACCCCTGGCCTTAAAACTGCCAGCGAAATATCCTCACCCCCCTCGCTTAAAACTGCCAGCGAAATATCCTGACCCCCTGACTTGAAACTGCCGCTGAAACATCCTCAACCACCTAACTAAAAACTGCCAGTGGAATACCTGTCAGCGAAATATTCTCACCGCCCCTGGCAAATATCCTCACCCCCTGAGCTTAGAGCTGCCAGCAAAATATCCTCAAACCCCTGGCTTAACACTGCCAGCGAAATATCCTCAACCCGCTTGCCTAAAACTGCCAGCGAAATATCCTCAACCCCTGGCCTTGAAACTGCCAGCGAAATATTGTCACAGCCCCTGGCCTAAAACTGCCAGACAAATATCCTCACCGCCTAGACTAAAATTGCCAGCGAAATATCCTCAACCCCCTGGCTTAAAACTGCCACCAGAGTATCGTCACCCCCAGAAAAAAACTGCCATCCAACGACTTTGGTGATTGAATTGTTGGTTCAGTCAGTCTACTACCCTGAAATCAAACTACAGGCTGCGCCCGCAAATCAAATTAGCCTGGCGGAGGGCCAGACCATGTGCAGTTGTGAGCACCGTCGTTGTATGCACCGCATTCGGCGGAGCTCCCTATAGGGCCACGAGATGTGTGAGGGGTGTGCCAAAATTTGTCTGGTGGGCGCATGCCAAAACAGCTATTGGGGCCGTCGGTGGAACTCCCTATGGGGCCACGAAGCGCGTGAGGTGTGCCGAACCAAATGCGGTGAGCGCATGCGAACGCAGCCAGTGTGGCCATCGGTGGAGCTCCCTATGGTGCCGCGAAACGTGTGAGAGGTGTGCCGAAGTGGGTGTGGTGGGCGCACGCGAACGCAGCCAATGGCGCCTTCGGTGGAGCCTCCCACATGGGGCCACGAAACGTGTGAGGGGTGTGCCAGAATGGGCAGAGGGACGCATGCTGGCGGTAGCACTGGAGCCTTCGGTGGAGCTCCCTATGTGCCACGAAACGTGTGAGTGGTGTACCAAACTGGGTGTGCGAGACGCATGCGGGCGGAGGCACTTGGGCTTTCGGTGAAGCTCCGTGTGGGGCCACGAAACGTGTGAGCGGTGTGCCGAAACGGATGTGCGTGACGCATGCGGGCGGTGGCACCTGGGCCTTCGGTGGAGCTCCCTATGAGGCCACGAAACGTGTGAGGGGTGTGCCGAAATGGGTGTGCGAGACGCGTGCGGGCGGTGGCACTGGGGCCTTCGGTGGAGCTCCCTATGGGGCCACCAAACGTGTGAGAGGCGTGCCGAAATGGGTGTGCGTGACGCATGCGGGCGGTGGCACTGGGGGCCTTCGGTGGAGCTCCGTGTCGGGCCACGAAACGTGTGATGGGTGTGCCGAACCGGGTGTGCGTGATGCAGGCGGACGGTGGCACTGGGGCCGTCGGGGGAGCTCCCCATGGGGTCACGAATCGTATGGGGCCACGAAACGTGTGAGGGGTGTGCGTGACGCATGCGGGCGGTGGCACCGGGGCCTTCGGTGGAGCTCCCTGTCGGGCCACGAAATGTGTGAGGGGTGAGCCGAAATGGGTGCGCGTGACGCATGCGGGCGGTGGCACCTGGGCCTTCGGTGGAGCTCCCTGTGGGGCCACGAACCGCATGAGGGGTGTGCCGACATGGGTGTGCGTGACATTGCGTGACGCGTGCGGGCGGTGGCACTGGGGCCTTCGGTGGAGCTCCCTGGGGGGCCACGAAACGTGTGAGGGGTGTGCCGAAATGGGTGTGCGTGACGCAGGCGGGCGGTGGAGCGAGGGGGGAGAAAGGAAGGAAGGAGGGAAAGAAGGAAGGAAGGAAGAAGGGAACGCGGGGACTGTCTCTTCAAAACGAGGACCAAACACCACAGGAGGGCTGGGGAACAAAACCGAGCACCCTCTCGTACAACCAAGACAGCCGATGCTGATGCATAACGACAGGACGGCCTGCTCCGGAAAACCACTTGGACAACCCAGCGGAAATCCGATAACACCACCCCCCCCCCTTGGACAATCCTCCTCAGGATTTTCTTACATGTGATATGATACGTCGAAGGTTCCCAAATCTACGAACATTATACGCATTTTTCGCAGATCCGCAGACACAACAATTTTGGGCCAAACCCATTATGTAGTCGATCTCCTACTCGAAGACCAACGACGACGACGACGACGACGACGACGACGACGACGACGACGACGCGCGTTGGTGCGCGATGCGTCAGTGACAGTGGCCGCCCTGCGTGCTTGTATAAAACCCCGCTTGGAACCCCGAAAGGAGCGCACCACAGGCCACTCCGGCGAAAGGTCACTCTTACGTGAAGCCGATTCGGGCCCAGGACCCTCACAGATCGATCTGGCTCGGAAAATGTAGCAGAAAGATGGGGTCCGGGGCTCTGGTCGCGTGCGCGATGCGACAGTGGCCAGCCTGCGTGCTTGGAGAAAGCACCTCCGTCGAACCCCGAAAGCAGCGCACCAAAGACTTGAAGCCGATTCGGGCCCCGGGACCCTCACAGATCGATCTGGCTCGGAAAATGTAGCAAAAACATGGGGTCCCAGACTTTGGTCGTGATTTTATGCGACGGGCATGATTTTTGCAACGTCGGATCGAGGGCCGGGGAGACGTAAGACACGAATTCGGTGCACTCGGGCTGGCCTGACGGAGCCATCGTGAAAATGACGAGGCCTGGTCTGAAATCTGACGCGAGCTCCCGCTGCAGACATCCCACTGAAACTGGGCCGTCAAAATCCAGGACGCGCTCGTCAAAAAGCGTCGGCAGATCCGAGCTCCAGCGTACAGTCGGACCCAGGCCAGAAGAACATCCTTCAAAAACCTGAGGCTCTCCACTGGCCAAGACGCACAGAGCATCGAAAGGTACCCTCCCAAGGGTGCACAAGAACATCCAGCAACACACGAACAACATCAGAATACCCTCCCCGAACAGACCTCGATTTTCTGCCTCGGAGGGGGGGATGAGGAGGAGGAGGACGAGGAGGAGAAGGAGGAGGAGGAAGAGGATGGGAAGGAGGAGGAGGAGGAACAGGAGGAGGAGGAGGAGGAGGAGGAGGAGGAGGAGGAGGGGGAGGAATAGAATGAGGAGGGGAGGAATGGGAGGAGGAGGAGGAGGAGGAGGAGGAGGAGGAGGAGGAGGAGGAGGAAGAAGAGGAGGAGGAGGAGGAGGAGGAGGAGGAGGAGGAGGAGGAGAGGAGGAGAGGAGGAGGAGGAGGAGGAGGAGGAGGAGGAGGAGGAGGAGGAGGAGGAGGAGGAGGAGGAGGAGGAGGAGGAGGAGGAGGAGAGTTGGAGGAGGGGGCGGAGGAGGTGGAGGAGGGGGCTGAGGAGGAAGAGGAGGAGGAAGAGGAGGAGGGGGGTGAGGAGGAGGTGGAGGAGGAGGAGGAGGAAGAGGAGGAGGAAGGAAGGAGGAGGAGGAGGAAGAGGAGGAGGAGGAGGAAGAGGAGGAGGAGGAGCAGGAGGAGGAGGGAGGAGGAGGAGCAGGAAGAGGAGGAGGAGTCTTACGCTTCCCCGATCAGGGGACGACGACGGGCGGGCGGGCGCCGTGCGGGCCTCTGGAGGCTGGTCCGCTCGGGCCCCGAGGAAGAGCGGCGGCAACCTCAGCTCAAACTTCCGCGCGGCCTCGCCGTCGGCAGCGGGCCGCCCTGGTCCTCCTCTTCCTCTGCCTCCTCTTGCTCTCTACCTCCTCCTCCTCCTCCCTACGCCTCCCTTCTCCCTCCTTCTCCCTCGGTCCTCCTCCCTTCTGCTCCTCCTCCAACCCCTGATCCTTCTCGTCCTCCTCCTCCTCCTCCTGCTCCTTCTCCTCCTCCTCCTCCTCCTCCTCCTCCTGTTCCTCCTCCCTTTCCTCCTCCTTCTCCTGTTGTTTTGTCCGCCCAGTCCGCATCCTCCTCTTGATATTATTCCTCCTCCTCCTCCTCATCTCCCACATGTGCCTCCCCTTCCTTTTCCCCCCCCCCTCTCTCTCCTCTTCTGATTCATATGCTCCGTCGTATCAGTAGTACTAGTATTCTTATTCGCATGGTTTACATTCGTATCAGCATTACCTGCCCAAGGGCCTTAGTACTAGTGTCATCCGTATGTTATTCATCAAAGTCTGTTTCTGCTTATGGCCCATATTCATTATCGTCTGATTATTACTTATCCTACTATTGTTGCTCTTCCTCCTCCTCCTCTTCTTCTTACCCCTGTCGTCATTACTCCTCTTCTTAATCCTCCTCCACCTCCCCTGGATATGGATATCACTCTTGCCCGCATCTCCTCCTCCTCCTCCTGTTCCTCCTGCTCCTCCTGCTCCTCCTCCTGCTCCTCCTCCTCACTCCGCACGCCTTGTTATCGTGCACCTCCCCTTAGAAAAAGCAGAACGGACGGAGTTGACAGCACAGAGGGGATGGGACACAGCACGCACACTTCTCGCCCAAAAGAGCCTCGTCGAACACACGGGTGATCGGGCCCCCCAAACACGTACCTGATCCGGGGGACCCTTCAGGAATCCACTGGAATCGTCAGGAATCCTCAGGCATCTTCAAGACACCTCCAGGAAACGAAAGATGTTCTCCAGGAATCGGCAAAAATCCTTCCTGACGTCTTTCCAGAAATATAAGGAAACTTCAGGCATCATCAAGGAATCTCCCGGAATCTCTGGAAAGGTCAAGAATCCTGAGGCATCATCCCGACCCCGCAGGATTCGGCAAACATCCCTGAGGACTCCTCAAGAAACCCTCAAGAATCTTCCAGGGATCCGCGAGAAATAATTTGAAATATTCAAGGATCCTCGGAATGCAAAGGATCTCCCAGGAATCCTTCAAGAATCCTTCCGAAATCGTTTCGGAAATCTTCAAGAATCCTTCTGGAATCTTCCAGGGATCTCCTGGAATCTTATCGAATCCGTACGAAGTCGTCAAGAATCCTTCAGGGATCCTCAGGAAACCGGAAGACTCCTCTGGAAACCAGAGAACTCTGGAGGACTCTTCGAAAACTCGTACTGTAGGTTCGTACGGCGTCGGCGCGCGCAAAAGTTTGTGACACCGTGTCGATCGTTCAACCCTGAATCGATCGCGGCCCCGATCGTTCAAAGTTGAATCCGGTCGGGTCCGAAGCAGCTACCGTATCCATCCGTGCTTCCGCGTCGCAGAATTCAAACTTGAACGCCTTCGCCGGCGTCGCTGGCGCGCCAACGCGGCAGGAACCTACTGTGAGGACGAGCAACGTCGTGCCGATCTCGGTCAGCGCCGATCGTGGCCAGCACCACTTCGTGGAACATCGTCACGAATCGGCGACGGCCGACACGGACCAGTGCCGAGATCGGCGTCGACAAGACCCCGCGACATCTTGGTGCCATGGCCCCCGTGCTCCTCCCCTGGAGAGAGGGCGGCCCCAGCGAAGAGGGGCCGAGCCCTCGGGGGAGCGCGCGTGCCAAGGCGGGCGCAGGGCCTCGCAGGCCCCGAGGGGACGCCACGGGCGCGCCCCTCTCCCGCCTCCCTGCCTTGGGCCCGGAGGCCGCGGAGGCCAGAGGCCACCACTGCCCCACCGAGGGCCCCGAGCGGAGCGCGCCCTCCCCCCCCGCCCTGCCCCCCCCTCCCTGGGCGTGGATTAATGGGGGGGTCACAAATGGGGGGTCAGAAAAGGTGCCCTTTCGTGCCCCTTTCGGGCCCCTCCAGAGCCCCAGGGGGCTCGTTTAGGTACCGTTTGGGTACCTTTTCGGACCACGCTCGCCACCCCCCCATTTATGACCCCCCCATAACGCGGCGCCCAACCTCCTCGGCCTCCTGATCCCCCGGATAAGATGCCCCCACGTGCGCCCCTGACGCGACTGCCCGTCTCGCACCCCCGCCCCTCCCGTCTGCCCGGAGCACCCTGCGCGGGTGCACCCCCGCCCTCCTCCTGGAGCAGAGGCCGAACTCCCCTTCTGAGGACCCGCCGGCTGTAATGGGCCGATGTTCCACCACCACCACATGTAGGAGAGGGAGGAGGAGGAGGAGGAGGAGGAGGAGGAGGAGAATGAGGAGAAGGAGGAGGAGATGGAGAAGGAGGAGAAGGAGGAGGAGGAGGAGGAGAGGAGGGGAGGAGGAGATGGAGGGGGAGGAGGAGCAGGAGCAGCTCTCCCGTCCTACCTGTGGCAGTGGTGCTGGAATGTTGGCCCACCAGACTGGCTGGGTGCTTGGCTGTCTCGGCCGGCATCGGCCCGGCGCCGCCTTGCCTGAGCGGGTGCCCCCTCACGAGAGGCAAACCCAAACATGCGACGTCCTGATTTTTTCAGGACGGGGCCCCTGGAAATCCCGACCCGCTCCCCGGGGCCAGCTTTTCATCCCGAATCGTTTGTTGCCGCACCCGAGGCCCCGCGAAGGCCCCTGGAGGCCGACATTGGCCGAAAACCTCCCGTCTTGATTTTTGTACGACGCGATCATGTCTGCGAGACGTTCGCGGGGAGAGAGCAGCTCCGGGGGGGAAGCGCCGGGCTGGGGTCGCCGCCACGTCGCCGAGGGATCGGCGGGATGGGCTCCCGGCCGCGGAGGCCCGCACGCTCCTGCGCGGTGGTGGGCCTCTCGGGCCCCCGTCGGCGATCCGGGGGTGGGGCAAGCTAGGCTGGGCATGTCCTCCTGCGGGCGGATTTTTTGTCGGGGGCGGCCAAGGGGGGGGCGTCCAAGAGGGGGGGGGCGCAAATCATGGCCCGCGGCACGTGCGCGGCCAAAGGGGGGGCCAGGGACGTAATGGAATAAGGAGTGGCGCCATGAGATCTGGGGAGATATCATGGCCCACGCCATGATATCCACCCCCCCGTGGTCATCACCCCCCTCTTTGCCGCCCCCGATTCTGGAGGAAGAGTGAAAGTAGCCAAACCACATGCCGGAACGGTCAACACACGCTTTCAACAAAAAAGGATCGTCCCCCGACTGTGGTTTGTACGATCTCTGAAACACTCCGACCTTCGACTGGGGGCCGATGCGTCCCCCCCTCAGCCTGTGCCCGCCTGCGGGCGCGAAAATCGGGTCGGGCGAGAATCAGCTCACGTAGCTGATTTTCCCCGCGCCTCCCGGCGCCGCAGGCGGCTATGTATCGAGGAGTGGGCCCCTCGGTGAGGCCGAATCCAGCTGCATGCAGCAAATTTCGCAACCCCCCCTTTCCCAATCCCCCCCTTTCGTCCGGCCCGACCCCCTCAGCCTATGCCCGCCTGCAGGCGCGAAAACGGCGGGGGCGCGATGCCGCCGAGCTGTACAGAGCGGCCGGCCCCGCGAAAACTCCGCCCGGGCAGCCAGCGAGGAGCCGCATGGGCCCGAGGAGAGGGGGCGGCCCGGTCCGCCGACGGACGGGCGCCGATCCGCAGAGGCAAAAGGGGGAGGGGGAGGGGGAGGGGGAGGGGGAGGGGGAGGAGGAGGAGGAGGAGGAGGAGGAGGAGGAGGAGGAGGAGGAGGAGGAGGAGAAGGAAGGAGGAGGAGGAGAAAAAGGGGAGGAGGAGGAGGAGGAGGAGGAGGAGGAGGAGGAGGCAAAGGTGGATTGAGAGAGGAGAGCTCCTGACACGCCTCGCACACCCTGCATGCCGCGGCCGCCAAGCCTCAGGGGTCTGGGCGCTCCCAGGGTATCCCACCACGCGTCTTCGACGAATGACGACTGCATACCGCGGCCGCCAGGGCCCAAGTAGTACGGTAGTCCCTGGGGATCCCGCCTCGCATTATCTGGTAAGGATCGCTCGAAAACATAGGTGTGTACCATCGTCCCCAACAGTTGCGTATAAGAGAGAGGGGTCGGTGGGGTCGGCGGCAGTCTGTGAAGCTCAACACTCAACAGAAGCCTGCCTCAGGCGCCGACTTTCCACATTGCACAAAGAGCCCGCCACAAGCAATGTTGGTGGGTCGCGGGTGGGTCGCGGGTGGTAGCGGGCGGATCGCGGGCCAGGATGACGACAACAACAATAATCATGTTAAGGCTGTTCGCGCTAACCTGCTCGCGTGCCCCTCAACACGTATATCCCCAATCGTCGATACCAGCTCGTATTCATATCTTCCTTACCTGCCGCGTGAAACTAGTGCAGCCCCTAAAACAAGGGAACAGAAGACACATGGAAGGGTGAGGGAGAAAGATGGAGTATGGGTTTAGCAGGAGGGGGGCTCGGAGCAGAAAGCACTTGGCAGAACCAGACGGGCTGACCGGGCGGGTAGACCCTAAAGGGCGGGTTGGGAAGGTGGGCCCATGCGGCCAGTTCGACGGGCTGCTGAAGCGTGAATACTGGAAGGACCGCGAGGAAGTCTCGAGAGATAGCACGATCACCAAGTGAACCGCCAAGGGAGAACAAAAAAAAAAAAAAAAAAAAAAGCTAGATTCCTGAGCGTCGAGGTCGCGGCGTTTTAATCAAGTGCGAGGCAGCCCCACACGAGAGCGCGATTCCTGAATACATTGCGAGGGGGTCCCGCGCGAGAACACGAGCTTGAAATACCTTGTGAAGAAAGATCTGGCGGGAACTGGTATTGTTGTGCACCGGCTGTCAACAACACCCTTAGTGGCTTGGGAATGCATTGTGAGGAAGTGTCAGGCGGGAGACGTTGTTGTTGTAGTTCGGGGCCCAACAACCCAGTTTGATGGCACCTTGCTTTACAAAACTGGCGTGCGAGCCCCAGGGGAGGCAATTA